TTAGTCACTTCAGTTTTGTGTGATTATCAATAAGGCTGTTAAAATATACATGTCAACTTTTCAATTTTGGATTTAACTGGGTAAACACTTAGGGTGTGATTCTTTTTTAGTAAGATTGTGTTATGTGTACCTTTGAAAGAAGACTGGCTAGCTGAGGGCTAGGGGTTTAATTCAGTCATGAGGCAGCATGGGGCTCCATCTAGAGCCCTGCAAAACAAATAGGTAACAAGGTAACAAGAAAGCCCACTCTTCTAGCTGTATACTTAAAAAAAATCTCTCTCTCTCTCTCTCTCTCTCTCTCTCTCTCTCTCTCATCTGTCTATCTATCTATCTATCTATCTATCTATCTATCTATCTATCTATCTATCTATCTACTTACCTACTTACCTACTTACTTACTTTTAGTGAGACAAGGTCTCTCCATGTAGCTCAGCTTGGCTTCAAATTTCAGTTTCTCTCACTTGTGCCTTTTGAGTGCAGAGAACATGGCTTACCACTTTACACCATTATCAGCAAAGACTTAAGAATCCCTGCTCTCCTGCATCCTTATGAGTGGAAATGGCTTTACATTGAGCAGCCATGAAGTCCTGGTCTCTCTCATCTTTGATCCCCTCCCCCATGTGCTGTCCCAGAGTATTATGTTTTGATTTCTGTAATTAAAATTTAAGCTGTGTGGTGTTGTAAGCCTGTAATCTTTGCTTTTGGGAGGCCAAAGCAAGAAGACCTTGAGTTTGAGATCATGGGGCTATATAATAAAAGTCAAAAATATTAATGTTATTTCTTGGTATTGTTAAGGTGAAAATCATTGATTGGGAAGTTTGTCTTAAAATACTGGTATCTGCCAGGTGGTGGTGGTATACGCCTTTAATCCCAGTACTCGGTAGGCAGAAGTAGACAGATCTCTGTGAGTTTGAGGCCAACCTGGGCTACAGAGTGAGTTCCAGGAAAGGCACAAAGCTACACAGAGAAACCCTGTCTCGGGGGGATCAAAAAAGATACTGGTATCTGCCATCTTGTACCTGTCAGAATGGCTAAGACCAAAACCCACAAATGACAGCTCAGCTCATGTTGGAAAGGCTGTGGAGCAAGGGGAACACTCCTCCATTGTTGGTGGGAGTGCAAACTTGTACAGCCACTTTGGAAGTCAGTGTGATGGTTTCTCAGAAAACTGGCAATCAATTTACCACAAGACTCAGCTATACCACTCTTGGGCATATATCCAAACGTTGCTCAGTCATACCACAACTATGGTATGACACTTGATCAACTATGTTCATAGTGGCACTATTTGTAATTATCAGCCTGAAAACAATTTAGATGCCCCTCAATCAAAGAATGGATAAAGAAAATGTGGTACATTTATACAATGGAGTACTACTGAGCTGTAAAAAACAATGACTTTATGAAATTTGCAGGAAAATGGATGGGACTATAAAAAAATTATCCTGAGTGAGGTAACCCATACCCAGAAAGACAAACATGGTATGTCTCATAAGTGGATATTAGATGTAAAGTAAAGGAGAACCAGGCTACAGTCCATAGCCCCAGAGAGGCCAGGAAACAATGAGTACCCAAAGAGGGATACATGTATTTCCCTGGGAAGGGGAAATAGAAGAGATCTCCTGGGAAAACTGGGCACAGTGGGGGCAGGGATGGGAACATGAGGGATTGGGCTGGGTGGCTTGGGGGTGGAACAGAGGGGAAAAATAAGAAAACCATTAAAAACAACAACAAAATCTCCCAAACCAAACCAAAACCAAAAAAAAAAAAAAAAGATATTGGTATCTGTTGCTTTGTGTGGATACACAAATAAGTTATACACTACTTTGCTGTGGGATGTCTTTCTGTATGCTGTGAATATGTGTTGCTCCCACTGGCTAATAAATAAAGCTGTTTTGGCCTATGACAAGAAAGCTGACAGCCAGGTGGGAAATCCAAGAAAGATAAGAAAGGCAGAGTGAGAAGGAGACACAATCCAGCCACACAAGAAGGAAGAGGTGAAAGTACTGGTCAGCCATGAAGCCATGTGGAAAGACAGATGAATAGGAATGGGTTGAATTAAGTTGAAAGAACTAGCTAGGCCTGCCATAGGCCAAAAGAGCTTTATTTATTAGCCAATGAGAGCAACACACATTCACAGCATACAGAAAGACATCCCAAATGCAAATGGACTAGACATTGTTGATGTATTTATTGCTTGTATATATTGTATATAGTTATTGTACTTATTATATATCATTTTTCTTATATTTTAGTTATAACTTTTTTAAAATTTTAGACAAAAAAAGGGAAAATGTAGTGATATTTTATTTGTGCTCTAACAAATAAAGCTTATCTGGGGCTCAAAGGAAAAAGCCAGCCACTATATTAAACATAGAGGTCAGGCAGTGGTAGCACACGCCTTTAATCCCAGCATTCAGGAGGTAGAGATTCATCCGGATCTCTCTGAGTTCAAGGCCACACTGGGAACAGAGCCAGGTGTGGTGGCACACAGCTTTAATCCCAGCACTAGTTAACCATAGAGGTCTGGAGGTCTGTGCAGACAGACAGGAAGTGATAGAGCTGGGCAGAAAGAGGAAGTGATATAACTGAGCAGTAAGAGGAAGTAAGATGGCAGGTCACAGAAAGGTATATAGGCATACAGGAAGTAGCACTCTGTTGGGCTGAGGATTTCCTAGCGGTAAGAACTTATGGATGGCTTGTTCTATTCCTCTGATCTCTCAGCTTTCACCCCAATATCTGGTTCAGGTTTTTTATTAATAAGACCGTTTAACAAACATGGCTGAAATATAGCAGCTGCCCTTTGTCCATCTGTAAGTAGAGAGTCTCATTTTTTAACATGTACGTAAAATGGGAAAGGCTCACTATGAATTATAACTTACATATTTATTTATAACTCATTTAATTTTTACACTTAGCCACTTGATCAATAAATATTTCCCAAATGCTAACTATGTGCTAGTCAGACTATTAGAGGATGTATCGGGGATGAGTTAGATGAAGGTCCAGAGGTTGGTGGATGAGGCTAGCAATGAGGTGGTTGATAAGAGGAAGTATATGCTGGCACTTGGAAGAGCGAGGGTGGTAATCTATGTCTTTATGAGTAAGATAGCCAGGGTATGTTTTTCTGAGAATGTAGTAATTGAGATGAGATTGGAAAGAAGAGAGGAGCAGAATTGCTGTATGAAATAGTTTGCTGCAGGTAAATTGTACTGGGTAGACTCAGAACTGAGGTGAGGACTAGGCAGATGGCTCAGTGATCAAGTGCTGGCTGTGTAAACCCCAGAACCTGAGTTTGAATCTCCAACACCCATGTAAAGCCGGGTATGACTGCTTGTGCTTGTCATTCCAGTGTCGGCAGAGCTGGCCAGCCAGCTGAATCAAAATAGTGAGCTTCTGGCTAGAGAGAGACTTTGTTTCAAAAAACAAGGTGGAGAGTGATGGAAAGACGTCTGACATCCTGCTCTGGCCTTTGTATGTGCCTGGATGGGTGTGTGTTCGCTTGTGTGCAGTGATGATACTCTGAACTGACCCAGGAACTCAGTTATAAACCATGCTTTGGAGCACATCTGTTGGAAAGAATAGAATCTTGGCAGGAGATGGAGAAGGGCAGGAGAGGAAGCCATGACTTTTGCAATGAAGGTCAGCAAAGAGCAGCATGGCTGAGAGGAAGAGGGGGCTTTGGAGAGAAAATCATGGCGGGTCAGGGAAGGCATGCTTAGGCTCCTGGACAGTTTCTGAAAGAGAAGTAGAAAAAGGAGAAGTCACACTTAGAAAAGCAGGCAGGCTTAGCAGTACAGCCATGAAGGGATGCTCTGTAAGCAGCTGTTGTGAGTGAGGGGCTTCTGGGAAGGGAAAGCACAGTACCTCATCATTAAAGCGATAATTATTCCTTTCGTTTCTTTGCTATGACTTCTGGTGAATCAGCTTTGGAGTGGTGATTTGGTGAACACCTGTCCAGGAGATTGTCAGGTCCAACTAGATTGATTCTTAAGGGAGGGGACAGTCATATTTAGTGTTCTAATCCTTGGAGCAGATCAGAATGTTGAGTCTCCACCCAGGGCTAGGGATAGCACCTTTTGACCAGGGGGGCTAAAATGGGCATGTGTGATGTTTTCCTTTCTAGTGTTACAGATAGGAAGTGGGGTCTATGGTGGACCTAAATGTTCTCCAAGGGTACTAATCCTTGGGTAATTGCCTAACATTCTCCACCCCCCGCCCCCAAGAGCTGAGACCCTAAAATCATGAGCTGAAATTAACCCAGAGGTCCAGTTGCAAAGCCATTCAGCAGAGGGGATTGGTGTCTGGACTGGAGTTTATGTTGCACCCTAATGTGAAGCTCCCAGGCAGGGGTGCTCACTTAGAAGAGGGATAACAAGCCAGAGCCCCCATCTGGCATTCCTGGTCTATAACCAGGACAGGACCAAAGACATTTCCATCTTCTGACCAAAGATAAGAGTACAACTGCACTGGGGACCTGGAAGCTACCTGACCAATTTCTATCTGGTTTTTCAAAAGGGCAGTTGGGGTGTCCCTCAGAAAGGTTTGACACCATAGCCATTTATTATTATTATTATTAACTATTTTAAACACTTTCACAAGCATTGTGACATGTGACAACTGAACATCAGCTTGTGTGTAATTTTATGATCCACATATTATGATTAAACAGTTGAAATTATAGACTATCTTTTAAGTTTTGACATGCACATAATATGGTAGAGGAGAGGAAAGGTTCAGTTCTGAATTTTAATGGCAGCAGTCAGTCTGCATCACATTTGGAGGATATGGCATTTTTAGACTGAATGTATTTCTTTCAAGAAAGTAACTAACCAAACTCTCCATGTATCTTTTATAGGCGGCATCACTGTCCACATCTCCCTACGAAGATTTATGATAAAACAGAGAAACCATGTCTTCTCACCGAATACACCCAGAACTATCCTGTCTATGAGTCTTACCTGCCCAGAGATTCCTTTAAACCCAAGGGGGTATACAAGAAAGGATCCATACCAATGGAAGGCCTGACCACATCCAGGTGAGGGCAAACGGTGCTGTCGAGAAAACGGGTGGAATAAAAGCAATCATGAATAGTGTGATGTCAAGATAATGGCATGTGGTGTTGGTGCAGGATGGGCATATGACATTAGTGTTTAATGCTAATGTCCTAGATATCTCTGAAAGAGGCTCTTCTATTTGTCGGCTTCCTTAACTGTTCCCAAACACCCTCTTACTGAGAAAGAATTCTTGCTTGTTAAAGTGGGGGTCAGGAACCTAAACTGGTCTGTCTAATTAAAGGTGAGAAGTTAAGTAAGTATTAAAAGGAAAGGAGGAAAGAGACAGCTCCTGAAAAAGGCGTTTTGGGCTTTGTGGTCAGCCTCCATAACAACTTGGGTGGTTAAAAGAATGGTAGTAAATAATGGGTCCTTTAGATGTTATACCACGGATTTTGAACTAGAGATCCCACAGTGTTCAAGATATGCAAAGAGAACATTTGATTTTCAATTGTTCCTGATAATACTCTAGTTGATTTCCAAGTCGAGATTGTTGGGATCTAGGGCCATGTAGACTCTGAACTGTCTTTGTCAGTGTCATGAAGGTCCCTAATTCCAGGGACTGGAGAAAAAATTCCGTCTGAGGGTTCTGTGCTCACAAGACTGTGTGTCTCCCATTGACAGTTCTGAGAGTGGCCTCCTGATGACGATGATGCCTGGCTTGGTGATCTAGCGGAGTCAGGAGCATCTATCAGTGCAGTTGGGTAGGGTTTCAGACCCAGTAAGTCAGTTTCCAGGTGAAACCTTCTGAATAACGATGTGTTCTCAGCCTCCCTGTGGTTTTTTTTTTTTGTGCTGTGGAGGTAAGTCTCCATTTTCCTTCACAGCACTTAGACATTACAGATGCTTGGACAACTTGCTGAATGTCTTCCTATAGCTCACCCCTTGCATCATACTTTTGCATGGTTTTAATAATGATTCCAGGTGGCCCAAAGTGGAGCATGACATCTTTCTCCCAAAATAATGGAAACTTCCTCCTTTGAGATTTTGACCTGGAGGTGTTCTTATCTAAAAAACAGGTGTTGTCTTCCAGACCTTCTAGAAGCCATGTCTAGGCTAGGGCAGGAGGTCCCTTTAGGGGAGAAGTAAAGCTAAGGGACTTTGGAACTTGGTAGGACTACTGGACAGGAGCATCTTTAGAAGGGCATGTAGCTAAAGGATTTATCTTGACACCAAGCAGTTGTTGTAAATGATTTGGTTTTAAGCACAATTGTTCTGGCTCCTGGTCCATTTGAACAGTGTAACACAACTGCTTTTTCAACCAACAGCTTATTAAATGATGTGAACTTTACAGTTTGGGCTTCATTTAGCTGAGAAAACATCATCTCTAGGCTTCTAGAGCTCAAAGCAAAGACTGTGGGCTTCTCCCGAGCATTGCTTCTCATGATAAGAGATGACAGGCCGCACCCAGGACGAGTCCTGTGCACGTGCGTGCAGATGCAGTCACTGGTTAGGAAGGGGTAAAAGTGGTGTTGGGAGGTGACTTCAGGCTTCATTTTCCCCTCCCAGGTGTAGCTGTTCCCATCTCTTTACCCTAAGTTTTCAAGAAACAAAGAGCACTTTACTGGGAAATCAAAAGCACTAACTTCAAACAGTATTATAATGGAAATGTGTTTTCTGTCCTGAAGTATAGAAAAGGGTGCTTGAGATGTTCTTGTTCATTGTCTAAAGCTTATGAAGACAAACACGTGACAATCCTCCGGGGCAAGATCCCTGTCTCACCTCCCGGCTCCAAGGCCCTCGGATGTGGGAGCCCTACATACCCTCCGGTTTCCTGATGCCGTTTTTTTGCAAATCATAAAATTAACCTCTGACCTGAGCTAAGTTATCTTTGCCTGTGCCATTTATAACAATCAAACCATTTCCCAGCAGGTGGGCCTCAGTCAGAGCCACAGCAACAATAAATCCAGTTTACATCAAGAGGTCCCCAGCTACTGAAAGAATTTCCCAAACTATTAATGATTACAGGGCTTTAAAAAGAGGAAGGGTGGAATCCAGTTACTAATGGGGAGGAGGAAGAGCAGACCTGGGAGCTGTGCATACCTCAGTCATAGGGCACTGTGTGTAAGGTCCTATGTTCAAGTCCTGAAGCTGAGGTTTCAGGGTGAGGGTGGGGTGGAAAGGAGGGGGAGGGGAGCTGACAGGGGACTCTTTTTTTTTTCCCCTTTTATCCTACCCTAGGAAGAGGAGCCAGGCAGAAACTCACAGGGAAGTCAGTCACTTTCCTGTACCTCAGCCTCATGGCTTCTCATTGCTGGGGTGATTTTTCACAGACTGAGGAAAAGTTGAACTACTTTCAGGAATGCAAAGCAGCTTGCCTTGGGAGGCTTTTAGGGGAAGGGGTGTGTCATCCCATGTCTGCATAACCTCTGGGTCTTCGTGGATTGTCACCCCTCTGTTCCCAGAACCCTTATTGCTACGGCACTTCGCTCATTCCCCTATCTACAGGTGGACTCTGCACAGTGTCTGAGGCTGGACATGGGGCTCCCACCTGCTGCATGAAAAGTCATTTGGTACCGGCTTGGCTGAATTTGGTGATTAAGTCCAGACACAAAAACCACCTGGCTTCTGGAAAGGCCATCAGTGCAGCATGAAGCATGATTACAGCTGCACATAGCTCTTACTGACCATAAATTGTAGGGATTTAAAGCAGGTGTCAGAAGGGGAATGCCTGCCATTTCCAGCCCTTCTTACTGGAAAACCTTTTTTTTTTTTTTTTTTTTTCTCTTTTTAAAAAATTTGCAGCCTTTGGTAATTCTCTTGCAGAGGATTTGCCTGTAGTTCAGCTAGATCTGACATCAATTTATAAAGAAAGTTTGCATTTCTAGCCTCATTTCCCGTTAGGCATGCCACTGTATCAAACACTTGGGACCCCAACTTGGGACAGTATTTGTGTTACCTAAACCAGCTTCAGCAGTGTTAAATAGTACCTTAAAAGGGAGTGGGACACGGGCAAAGTGGGTTAAAGGTACATGAGTATATGCACGGGTGTGTTCGTATGGGGGGAGGGGAGAGAGGGGGAGTGAGTGAATGATGGATTTGATTTAAAGGAAGGGGATAGGGATGGTGAGGGTAGAGTTACTAGTAGAGAGGAGAGAGAGAAGAGAGAAAAGAGAAAGAGATTTGGCTTAAAGGCAGGGGCCAGGCTGGTGGAGTGGAGTTACTAATATAGACTCTTGTTTATTGATAAGACATTGATAAATCAGGGAGATTAAGGGAGGGAAGAACTAAGAGAAAGGACATCTGGTACCTGTTTCCAAAGGCAGGAAAGATGCTAGAAATGGTAATGAGCCCAGTCTTGACATGTTGGTGGAAAGGTATAGGTTTTCTTTGTGGATGGAGTCTGGACTCAGCTACTCAGAGCTACAGTGTTCGTGTTACCTGTGTGGCTGGTGTTACCTATGTGACTGGGTGGGCCTGAGGATGGACGAAACAAGCAGATAAGGTTCTTAGCACTAGGTTTGACTGGGGGACTTCAGAGCCTTTGACTTTGGTGTGCATTCTTCATTGAGTTTCTGGACATTTTGTCCATTGTTTTATTAAGAATTTTATGTCCCTGGTGGTCTGTGTCCCTGGAGTTCCGTTTGTTTCTCTGTCTTAATCTTACCCCTTTTGTTCAGATTAGACAGCTTTTTATCAGTTTATCTTCAAGTTACTGAGGCATTCCTCCTTTCTCTAAGCCCAGTGAATTATTTTTTTCTAAGGGTAATGTATATTTTAGATTTTTTTTTTTTTTTTGAGATGAGGTCTCATTCTGTATCCCAGGCTGGCCTAAATTTAGGATCAGACTCCCATCCTGAGTACTGGGATTTGGGGACCATACGGGTGTGGACCACCAGACCTGGCTTTAGCTTTTTGAGTTTCCATTTGGTTCTTTGGATAATAGCTTCTAGTTCTCTCTCATTTTCTAGCTCTTAATTTATTATGACCTGATTTTTGCCTTTTCTCATTAAGTATAGTTAAAATACCTGCTTTGAGATTGCTTGAGGTACATGGGTCACATTTTCCCGCTGTGTGTTAACTTTGTATTGGTTCTGGACAGTATTGTGAATGTTGCATTTGGAGACTCTGGACTGTTTTCTTTTTTTACCTTCTTCTCAAAAGCATTTTTCGTTTGTTTGTTTATTGGGCAGGTGATTTTTGATTAGGCTCAAAGCGCAAATTCCATGTCTTGGGTGCCAGCCCAAATTCCTTTTCAATTCAGTTATCCTTAATTCAGAAGCCTGCTTCTGGAGTGTGAGGCAAACAGGGACCTGGGCCCAGCATTTTAGAGGACTTTGGCTTTGGTTCCTTCCTTCCAAGATTGCCTCACATTTGCTTTTCCTGCTTTTTTTTTTTTTTTTTTTTTTTTTTTGAACAGAAAGAATCTGGCACAGGCTGGTCTTAGCTGCCTCTTCTGGCACAGGCTGGTGACTGCCTTCAGTCTGGAAGCTGTGACTCACAAGCAGTCCATGGAAACTGAAGCAGCTAAGGCCGAGCCAGGGTCGTTCCTTCCCCCACCTGCTGGCTCTACCCCAGAACCTGTGGATGGGGCTGACTCTAGTCCTGTCCAGCAGTTTAAAGATGGTTTCTTCTGGACTTCATGGAATGGGACAGATGGGAAGCTCTGCCTCAGCAGGATTTGAGGAGCTGAGAGCAGGAGAGGAGATAGAACTGTAGAATTCGGATCCTGGGTGGTTGTACTAGAACCCACTTGCTTCAGGGATGACGCCCCATTGGGATCAAGCTTTGTTGTTTTGCTAAGGGGTCCCTCTCAATGTTCTGGAAAAGGTTCTCCAACTCTGCTTAGGACGACAGAATGGCTTCCTTGGAAGGTGTCTTTTGAGCTGGGGAAGTTTGAAAATTACGTATGGAAATAATAATAATGAAATAACAAATTGAAATAAACCAAAGACGAAGAGTCCCCCCCACCCCACCCCAATAAGAGGCGATTGTAAGAAGACAAATCATGAGAAGCGAGTTGACTGAGGCCAAGGAAAGAGATGCTCAAGCATGAATTTGAGGGTAGACACGGTGACTAATTTACGTATGCAGCAGGCTAAGGGTGAGAGAGACCGGCTCTGAGATGCTTTGGCTAGCATATGGAGTAGAATTGTATTTGCTGGTTGGGCAATGTGTGGGCAGAGGGGAAGTTATGTAGTCCCTTTCTAGAAGAGAGAGGGGATGAGGAGAGGCCCAGGAGAAAATAGAGTCTGTGTGTGTGTGTGTGTGTTGTGTGCGTGCGCACGTGTGCATGTGTGAGCATGCACCATATTTTGTTTATTTTTAAATGTGGGAGAGACTGGGGCAAGTTTAAATATTCGCAGAAAGGAGACAGTAGGGAAAGATGTGAAGCCATAGCTAGGAGATGAAGTTCTCAGGAGGGCAATTTAGGGGAAGGTTTGCAGAGAGAGATTTGCTTTGGCAAAATGGAGGGACGCCTCTTAAGATTACATTTTAATATGATTGATTCCCTGGCTACTATACTAAATTCTGAAATTTGCATAAATACAAAACTATTAAAAAAGTAACTGTTGCTTGGCTTCTGTGAAAATTCTCCATTCCCCCACTTCCAGGCAAACGATTTTCATTAGCAATTATGTAATTTCCCCTTTCTTTTTTCCCTGTGACTGCCCAACACCTTTCTTTAGCTTAGCCAAATGGTTGGAAATGAAGTTGCTATGACTTCCCCAGCAGGGCCACTTTAACCCTTACCTAATTCTCGTTTAACTCTTGGCTTTCCATTCTGGATAGCTTTTATAGCTACTTACCTAAAGGAAGCTGAGATCCGTGACCTTTTCTCCTCTTTATTCATAGTCACAGTGAGGCTAAACACTCGGCAACGTACCACAGGAAGAGAGGAGCCATTGACTGTTGAAAAAATTGTTAAATTTAAGCAATTTCTGGGAAGAATAAAATGTTTTTTTTTGTGTGTGTGTGTGTGTGAACTTGAAGGCTATAAGATTATGTGTGACTGGGGACATGCAGGTATGCTGTGGTTAATGATAGGTTTCAGTGAGTGTTCCCAACATAAAACTCTAATGAGGAAACACCGAAACTCTGATAAAATTCACTCTTCAGCCATGTGACTGTTTGGGGGCCAGATACAAATGAATCAAATTTTAAGTTTAAAAATGATCCTCTGTCCGGAGGTAAGAGGCTTTTCCTTCCCTAATCATTTGCCTTCTCTATAGCTGGTCCGTAAATACAAATGTAGATAGATGCACATTTATAGCAGACTTTGAATTTTGTATGGAAGGAGATTCAGCGATGAATCCATTCCCTAAGTGTGGCTCACAAGAAGCTTTATGTGTCTGCTTCTGTCTTGGAACAGCTTGAGAACAGCCCCTGAGCTGGTGAGTTCGTGAGCGTTTCTTGACGGATGTCTGTGGATGAATGGGAGACAGGAACATTCTGGCTTGTTTCAGTCTTTAGTGTCTGGAGACCCTTGGAAGATGGCACCTCAGAGAAGAAGTAGGCTTTTTAGGGCAGTCATAGAGCTCTGGGGTGGGAGGCCTTAGCATGCAAGCTTGGACATCTGGCTTTGCTCAGTGCTGGCCTTTGGTATCTGCTGCTATTTCTTGGAAGTGCGGAGGGACTACAGCCTGGTTAACCATCGCTGGACACAGATAGGTAAGGTCACCTCAAAATCCCACTTTAGTCCTGGGAGTGGAGCACCTTCAGCTTCCCATAGGTATGTTCTCTTCAGAAGACAAGTTTTCAGCAGGAGGTTAACTTTCAGGTTAACTGGTTTTCAGATGGGGTTTCAGGCATTTTCAGTGGTCTGCTGTGCAGCCCATGGAGGCTTAGTATCTCCTAGTGCCTGGCTGCAATTGATTATCGAGCAGTCACTACGTGTGAGGGTCCTTAATCTAAGAAGAGTAAAAGCATGGAGCTGTCCCTTGGCTTCTTGGTTATCGTTTTGTCAGCCTGTCCCTCCACAACTCCCATTTATATAATCAGCTTCCAGATGCTGGCGTCATCAGCTCTCCTTCGATGTTAGCCCGCAGTGAGGCCCCTGGGACGGCAGCTCAGGCTGCAGATGCTGTTCTTGCTACTAAGATCTATTTTAAGATGTACCTAGAGGGTGTTATGGGAGTTCAACGAAAGCATCTCCCATTTCCCACTTGTAGCCCCAAAGAGACTAATTCTCTTGCTTCCACACTCCTGCATCCCACCAAGCATGCTCAGGACCTGCTTTGGGTTTACTGACAACCCTGTGTATAATTCATGTAAGACAGGTTACAGCGGAGCATGTCACCCTTGCTACCCAAGCATGGCTCAGGAATGCCATACCAGGTTTCAGCCTGGAAGTGGGTTTTATTAGTGTTTAGCCTAATGCTTTCCTGTCCGGAAACCTTTCCCTCCCATTGACAGGGCCGTTCAAGCAAGCACCTTTAGAGAAAGATCTACTTTTCTCTTGTCCTATTTGGCCAAATGGGATCCAGGAAAAAGCAGTTTGTTTTGAGAGGAACTGATAGCATGGAGATATGAGCAGTGGAGACTGTGGCAGTGAGCAGCATAGCCTGACTCAGCTGGACGTGGTCAGGGAGCGCCTGGTGATGGGCAGGTGCCACCTGGGCCTGTCATAACTGTGGCTGATTTGGGAAGGGATTACTTTGCTCTGCTGTAAAGCGTCCTTTCTTTTCCATTCTGTTTTCTTACTCTTGGACATAATGGGGGCACTGACCACAGCAGACAGCAAAGAATGGAGACTTTGTGTCTCTACTGCACTTCTCCTCTTTTGGGTTTTCTCTAAGGCTGAGTAGAGGAGATAAATATTAGTAGAAGAAGCTCCTGAGAACACAGAGGAAGGTGAGTGTATCTGAAAAACAGATGTTAGCCCCACAGGAGGGGTTGGATGCAAGGCAGGTGGGATATCAGCTGCAGAACAGGCCTCCTTCTCAAGGAGCTTTGTGGTTGACACAAGGTGCAGCTAGAGGAGTGAGCCAGGGGACAGGTCTGGGACAACCTGTGAATTGCACTAGAGAGCTGGGTTTTATCTGGAAGACATTTTAAGCTGGTGGGCAAGCTCATCTTATTTTTTATTCAGCACTTATTCTGGATTCACCAAGGCAGTTGAAGCAGAAGCAGGAAGATCAGGGAAGGGTGTCACATGGCCCAAGTGAAAAATGGTTTGGATCTGGACCAAAGGGCAAAAAAAATCCCCAATGAGGTAGAAGGGCTACTCTGGTGAATGACAGACTCTGTAGCTTTGAGGGGAGGAGTCAAGGATGTCACCCCAGGGATCAAGGGGTCAAACATGGGCAAAAATGAATTATAGTGTCATGTTCCAAAGTTAGAGGAGAGAGGAAAAGGTCGAGAGATAGAGTAGAAAGTTCAGTTAATGTGAGTCGAGTAGACACATTGTCTTTTTCCAAGCAAGGACCCCAATGACATGTGCTTATTCTTCTCCCAGGAGAGATTTTGGGCTTCACAAAATGGTACCAGTGAAACTCCATCAGCATGACCCATACATTCCAAGCCAAGAGACTATGGATTTACTCACAACGTATAAACACGATTTTAACTACCTCCCTGTCTGTCAAGTTGGCCCCATCAAACCTCGGGACAGTAAATTTCCGAATGGTGACAAGATACAGTACCTGCCTACGTACAAAGGTGAGGAGAGGACAGGCCAAGGCTTAGACCCACCAGGACATGGTGATATGTGTATTACCTTAGGGCAAAGGTCAAAAACCACTTCCTGCTGGCCAAATCCAGCTCACAGCCTATTTTTGTACAGATGGAAAGCAAAGAATGGCTCTACAGTTTTCACTAACTGGAAAAAATTATTATTTTAAGGCATGTTGGAAATTATGATATTCAAAGTTCACTATTGACAGGCATGTTATGTTGGAACCATAGCTATTCTTTCATGCGTCTGCTATGGCCGTTTCTATGCTTCAGTGGTGAAGCTGAGTGTCATGGCGGAGACTCGCACAGATGGCAGAAATGCGTAGTATCTTGACATTATGGAATATATTTTGTGATCCTTGTCTTAGCTTTCTGTTTGAATCTTACAATGGGGAATTTGTTCAAATTCAAGCTAATTAAGATTCTACAATTTGGTTGTTTCATTCATCCACCTAAGTGAATTTTGAAATGTGACATAACATACAGAAAAGAATGCATTATAATTACAGACCAATGAATTTTGACTGGACACACACAAACAGTGTTTGACCAAGAAATACTATATCCAAAGAAGTGGAACACAATCATTGTGCTGTCTTTTCTTCTTTCTTTTTTTTTCTTTCTTTCTTTCTTTTTTTTGCCATGCTGGGGATGGCAAACCCAGGCTTTCCTGAATGCCAGATAAATGTTCTGCTACTGAGCTACATCTCTTGCCCCGTTATACTGTACCATAATAATTTAATGTTATAAATTAGCTTTGCCCGGTTTTAATTTATATGTTAGATTGATTTATTCTTTTAAAAAATGTGTATTTTAAGTTGATATATAATAATTATACCCATTTATAGGGTATGAGGTGGCATTTTGATACATATGTGTATTGTATAAGGTTTTCAAAAATGTATTTACTTTTAATTTACTTTTGATTTGTGTATATGTGTGAGAATAAGGCATGTGTAGGTTTGTCCAAGGAAGCCAGAAGGGCTTTGCTTCTTCTGGAATTGGCATTACAGGTGTTATACAACATGGATGCTGGGAACCAAACTCATGTCATCTGGAAGAGCAGGAAGTGCTCTTACCCACTGAGCCATACCTCTAGCTCCCATTTTTAAGATTTCCTTTTTTTTTTTTTTTGTGTGTGTGTGTGTGTGTGTGTGTGTGTGTGTGTGTGTGTGTGTGTGTAATGTTTTTGTCCTAAGTGTGCTATGCCAGAAACACAGACACATTTGTGTCTCTTCATAGTACTTTATTGAAAAACAATTCATAAGCTATTTCAGATTGATTGGTTGCACATGGCCAATTAGTTTTGATTTCCCTTTGAAGCTGGCCAGGGAAAACACAGTATCTTTTATTCCAATCCAATTACTACTATTAACTCTCGGATCATGCATTACACATCACTCAGCAGCTATAACTGTCTACATATATACAGGCTTCAGAATGGCTGCAAAAGCTGAGGAGGCCATGGAGTTCAAAGGGGCCTTACCCTTTGGTAAGGCAGAGGACTGTTGCAGATGCACAGAGAATCTCTGTATGTGGTTAGATACATTCTTAACCAGTCCAATTGGAGAGCTGCTGCAGGGTCTCCAAAGCCGAGCTACAGAACAATGGGAGCCGCGGAGGGTGGGAGCTGTGGAGGGTGGGAGCTGTGGAGGGTGGGAGCTGTGGAGGGTGGGAGCTGTGGAGGGTGGGAGCTGTGGAGGGTGGGAGCCACAGAAGTGTAGGCAGTAGAGCTTTAGGACAGGCCCTGGGAGACAGGATAGACTGGGTGCTTTAGTTGGCCTCATCAAGTCGTGGGGACCATGCTGAGCTTGAAGTCCAGGAGACGAGTGGGAGTCTCTTGAAGGACATTCTGGGTGGCCAGATGACAGGGCTGTGGGGCCATTGCCATTGCTGTGTTACGGATCCTACTTTCTGGTGTTCAGATGAAGACATTAACCTCTTTGATGGTCTTCATATCTTTGGTAAGTTCTTGGGCCTGTTTGTCTGATATGGCTTTTAAAAGATTTACTTACTTTTATTTTATGTATAGGAATGTTTTGCCTGAGTGCATGTATGAGCACCAGGTTGGTGGTAGGAACTGAAACCAGGTGCTCTGAGTGAGCAGCCAGTGTTCTTTATCATGAGCCATCCCTTAGCCCCCTAATACAGTTTTAGTATATCCATGTGCTCCCACATTCCAAGCTATACGGTAAGTCTATAGGTAGCATCTTTGTACTTTTAGGGAAAAGTTGTCATTTGTGTATCATGGTTAGTGTTCTTACCAACAAGAACAACAGGGACAACAGAGTGCAGAGTCATCCTCCTGCCTCTGCACTCAAAATGGAGAAGCATACCTGTCTTTTCAGACATCTCTCCGGGGTGAAAGCGCTCAAAAAACCTCTTTCTTCTTGCCTTTTATTTTCATTAGCATATATTAGTTGCACAAAGAAACGGGCTTCATTATGGCACTTTTTCTACACGTGCATCATACACTTTGACCATATTCACCCCTCTTTGTTACCCTCCCTTGTCCATACCTTCCCTCTCCTGTTGGGTCTCCTCCTCTTCCAAAAAGTTCTCCTCCTTTTTGTCTGATATTTTTGAAATACATTTCATTTGGTATCTGGATTACATGCTAGGCATGGTGATGGAGCATAATGACCAGTCTTTGACCTTTTAGTAGAGAGACAAGCTATGCAGTCCTATGGATTGGGCAGGCAGAGTAACAGTCCCCACCCTGTGGCACACAGCCACAAAACCTGAGGTCAGGGAGTGAGAAAGTGGATTTATCATCAATAACTCTTCATGCTTGTGATGTGTCCTATTGTCCCAAGAAGACAAGCTAAACAGTTCATGGGGAACATGTTGGGGGCCTCTGTGGGAGCGTGTTAAGGGTTGCTTTTTTTTTTGTTTTGTTTTGTTTTTTCGGGACAGGGTTTCTCTGTAGTGATGGTGCCTGTCCTGGATCTTTGTAGCCCAGGCTGGCCTTGAACTCATAGAGATCTGCCTGGCTCTGCCTCCTGAGTGCTGGGGTTAAAGGTGTGTGTCACAGCTGCCTGGCAAGGGTTGCTTTTATTAATGAAGCCAAGCGTGTGGGTGGGAGGTGGCAGCGGAGGAGGGAGGCCACAGCGATGTAAGAATTTTCCTTAAGGGGCTGTAATCCATGTGTCAGGGAATCCCTTATGGTGTTGGTCTTCTCTCCTTAGCCCCAGAACTGATTCTGCGGTGGTCGGGACTCTGACTTGCTCATCTTTCATGTCCCCATCTTCTTTGATTCTATAGCTGCCTTCTGTCAAGCCGCATTCTGAATGTTACTATACTGTGAAATGACCCACCCATGAAAGAGTTGTGAACCCCAAATCCTATCTTTCTGGTTTGTTCTCCTGTCTACACCCACGATGACAGTTCTCAGTGTCTCTGGGACCTCTAGGTCATCAACACTTCCTCTGTCTGCCCCTCCCCATGTAGCTTCCTTCCTGACACTTCACTACAGCCTGCGTTTTAGCAATGTCTCAGACTTTCTCCCTTCTGTTGCGCTGTGGCTTCCTCTAATAACAGAACCCCAATTCTGCCTCCTCAGGTCTGCACCTGAGTATTCACTCAAGCGTCTCTCCGACCTTTCAGCTTATATCCATCCCAAGCTTCACTTGAGCCAGGAAGCCTTAGAAAATGGAACCTCACCATCTGCCGATTTAAGTGCCCTCAGTTGTTACGGTTCTTAAGATGCCAAATCTGTACGGACGACTCTGCGGCTGTGAAGGTTCTGGCTCCCGCTGCCTGAGCCCCTCTGCTTCAGCCTCTAGGACCTTCCACAGTTTCCTTTTTCCCTACCTTTCTGCCAGAGGACATTGTCAGTGTGGTCCCTCTGTGGGGCATTCTCCTCCTTCAGCTAGCGGCTGCCATGGCATGCTGTCAGAGGCTTTCCCAGACCCCTCACGCTCAGGGTACCTCAGCACACCTCTAATTATTGTGCAGGCTTGTATTCAACCTTTGTTTCCTTGGACAGACTGGAAGCATCTCTCTCTTTTCATCTGAATTATTTGTATATTTTTGCAATTTTTTTTTGTGTGTGTTTTGAAATAAAATCTCACCATGTGGCCTTGGCTGACTTGGAACTCATTATTTCAGGCTGGCCTGGAACTCATAAAAGATCTGTCTGCCTCTGCCTCCCTAGTTTTGGGATTAAAGGTATGTACCACCATAACCAGCTATTTTTTTTTTGCAAATTAAAAAAATATAATTACATCATTTTCCTTCTCCATCTCCTCTCTCTAACCTCTCCCATATTGCTGTGGGATGGTCTGTATGTCAAATGTGTTGCTCTGATTGGTCAATAAATAAAACACTGATTGGCCAGTAGCCAGACAGGAAGTATAGGTGGGACTAACAAAGAGGAGAATTGAGAGAACAGGAAGGCGGAGGGAGACACTGCCAGCCGCCGCCATGACAAGCCGCATGTGAAGATGCCGGTAAGCCACGAGCCACGTGGCAAGGTATAGATTTATAGAAATGGATTAATTTAAGATATAAGAACAGTTAGCAAGAAGCCTACCACAGCCATCCAGTTTGCAAGCAATATAAATCTCTGTGTTTACTTGGTTGGGTCTGAGCGGCTGTGGGACTGGCGGGTGACAGAGATTTGTCCTGACTGTGGGCCAGGCAGGAAAACTCTAGCTACACCATATCTCCCCTCACTCCCTCTCAAATTCATGGTCTCTTTCTCTTTAGTTTTTGTTCACACACACACACACACACACACACACACACACACACACACACACGCATACACACACACACACACACACACACACACACACACACACACACACACGAATACAACTTGATGAGTCTGTTTGGTAATAAATAATATATATAATGATTTCAGAGTTGACCACTTGGTTTTGAACAACCAATTAGGTGTCACCTCCCTAGGGAAAAATAATAAATAGTCCTTCCTCATTCAGCTGTCATTAGTTTATGTAGTTCTTTATCTAGGGGAGGGG